TTTCTATTTTGAGAGAATACTGCTTTTGGCAGCCAGAAGAGCTTTCTGTAGACATCTTTTTGAGAATGGGATAACTCATCTGAATTCATCATAGCCAGAAATAAAGATTCTTGGTGTCTGATGTAGGTGCATTACCGGAAGGATGGTAAGTCTGGCTTAGTAATTCTTGCAAAAATTGTTTATGGTTGGCACTTCCAATGTGTTTTAAAGAAACTCTTTTCACATTTGGTTAAATGTTTCTGTCTTTTCATTATTTATTTGAAGTCTGCCTTCAAAATGCTCAAAGTAAGGTTGTTGTTGGACAGACCTCTATCTGAAATCCAGGAAATAGTTTTCACTTTGGCTTCAGTTAGAATCCACATCATGTATATTAATACAATTTTCTCATTCTAAACTACTTTTTGTTTCTCAGTTGCAGCCAGGATTTTATTAGCATGCTTAAACCAATAAATCCTCATCTTTCCTGGAGTGAGCTAATTGTGTTCTATAATGAAGAGGTCTGAACGTCATTTGTCAAATATACGTTTGCACGCAGCCCACCTCATTGAAAGGAGACCAGCTTAAGGAGGAAGAGTGTCTTTTCAAAGACCTATGTTGAATGAGTACTTCAAAAGAATCTTTCCTTACTAATGACATTGTAAACAACTTAATTCGGTAAATGTCATTTTTTGCTGGATGTATGCAAGCTCTTCCTACTAATATTTACAAATCTACTTCATGATATGCCATTTTCTGTTGGTTAGAATGCTCATCTTACCCACAACATTCTGTTATATGAAAAATACATAGTCATTAACTTGTTTTATTACTTCCCCTGAGAATGACCTTTCTGTTCTTTGCTTGGCTAAATCCTCTGCCCCTTTCAATCCAGCTAAAATCTCACCTTGCAACCTTACCTAATTTTGGCAGAATGTTGTGTAGATCTTGGAGCTTCCACTACTAAGTGTATTGCGTACTCTAAGTCGAGTCAATACAGACAAATATTTCCTGGATGTCAAAGATTTGTCCACCTAGAAGAATTACTTTAATTTATTATTATCTTAATAGAAATTGCAGGCAGTGGGATAAGTTTTGTTTATTTGTTTGCTTTTACAACTGTGAGATGTGTTGTAGGGACATTGGTTGCTTTGGCCTTTCCAGAAGCCTTGTATCTTTATCCAGGTAACAGCACTCTGACGTACCTTGAGATTCCTTCCAGTGATGCCTCTGGGTGTGGACATATAATTGATCAGAGTAACTGAGGTTAAGTCCTAACCTCTTGTTAGAACCGTTGCCAACTGTCTTCATTGCATTGGACTTGGGGCTGTGAGGATGTTATCCTTGAGTTCTGGTGGCCATCATGATGGGAAAGCGTACTTAAAAATTAAGTCATTTTGGGGGCCAGCCCGGTGGCGCAGGAATTAAGTTCGCACGTTCTGCTTCTTGCTGGCCCGGGGCTCGTGGGTTCGGATCCCAGGTGTGGACATGGCACCACTTGGCAAAAGCCATGCTGTGCTAGGCGTCCCATGTATAAAGCAGAGGAAGATGGGCATGGATGTTAGCTCAGGGCCAGTCTTCCTCAGCAAAAAGAGGAGGATTGGCAATAGTTAGCTCAGGGCTAATCTTCCTCAAAAAAAAAAAAAAAAGAAAAAGATTGTCATTTCAGAATAAATAAGGTATATGGGAGAGATTACTTCCTGACAAAATTGAGCACCTGAATCCAGGTATACCAGAAGCTAGAGACTCCTGGGTTTTTAAGTTACATGGTAAATATATTTCTTGCATTTTTATGTATGCCTTTTTTTTTGCTTAAGCAAATTTAGGTTAAATTTGTTTTCTTTTGTTTTGTTTGCTGAGGAAGATTCACCCTGAGCTAACATTCATGCCAATCTTCCTCTATTTTTTAGTTTGTGGGCTGCTGGCACAGCATGGCTGCTAACAGAGGGGTGTATGTCCACACCCAGGAACCAAACCCGGGCTGCTGAAGTGGAGCACGCTGAACTTAACCACTAGGCCAAGTGGGGCTGGCCCCTAGGTTGAGTTTTTCATACTTGCAATTGAAAGAGCTCTGAATAAATGTATTAGTCCTAATTCTATAGATGAGGAAATTAAGCTGAGAGAGTTTCAGAAAAAACTGCACAGCTAATAACAAATGAAACTGTAATTGGCAGTCAGGTATATCTGACTCGGTGGTCCATTCTCTCTCTGCTCTACCATACTGCATTACAGTTTTCTGGAATGTTTTGGCTGGTATGTTTTGGCACCTATGCTGATATGTTTGAGCTGCTCGAAAAATTTTTATTTATTTATTTTTTGGTGGATAAAGGCCATGACTTGCAGTTGTATCATTTTCTATTAGTATTTTGGAGGAAGAGAATATGAGGGACACAGAAACACTTGTGTTCTGGGTATTTGTAATAGAAGCTCCGTTAATACTCATTGAGATTTCCAGTGATTAACATTCATCATATGTGGTCTTTGGGTTTAAAGCACCTTGGTTGAAGTCAAAGCCATTCTTGTTCGTAGAAAGACCTGCTAGACTTTGAGTCTGTGTTACTCCAGTGTCTCATGTCCGCAATCCCTATCTCCATCAATTTGCGTTATTTTCAGAAACACAAACAAAGAATGAGTTAGACCATCACAAGGACATTCATATTGGGAATACTGGGAAATTTATGACTACTCCTAGGCTGGATCAGAGACAAGTTTGCAAGAAACATCAGAATTTCATTCCTGGAACTGTCACTGCATTTCTGGGTAGCCTTGGGCGTAATTATATTCCTAGGTTTCTCCAAAGGGAAGATAATAGGGGTAGGAGAGGAATGACCAAACAGCGCCAAATGAATAAATTCATTCTTTGTAGTGTTAAATACTGCATTCCCATTTTCTTGAAATTACCGTAAACTCACAATCCGGATCTCAGAGAGAGACTTGAAATTTCAAAAATAGCCCTTTCATTTATAGCTAGAAGAACAAAAACAAGAACCAAACAAATAGAAAACAGGCTTGGTGCACATACAACACTCCAGGCAGGTGGACCATTCTGGTCTATGTCATTTACTGAGACCTAATTAGCTAGGCTGCCTTGGTGGCATTTTCAGAAAGGAAACTGAAGTCCTCTGCCTGTAAATGTCTCCATTAGCTCAGTGTGTGTGTTTTCATTGGCCTTTGGAGAAGACTCTGGGTCTATTATGGTTTTGTTGATGGCTAACAGTATTCTTGGCGCTGAATGAGATATAGAAGAAGGCACAGGATCCGCCCAAGGCGCTTGCAACCTAAGTCAGTAAAACAAATAATTCACTATTAGTTTTGACCTTGCTGGAAATTGGGCTTAAATATCAGTGGTGCTAAATTCCAGAATATTTCTATTTATGCCCCTCTGGGATGGGCAGGAATGACATTGTGCAGCAACTGTATTGCCTGGTATGCTTCCTTTCTTCCATTTTTAGCATGTTCGTCTTTCTTCCATACTCCAAGGCTTTTTCCATGGCTGAGTTAACCACATACGTGGTCTCCCAGCATCCATTTGTTTTGATGTAATATTTGCCTTCACTTTAGTCCATTATAGTCCAATCTCATTTATATCCACCTACTGCAGGTGGTAGAAAAAAGTATTGAACCAGATAAACCCTAAATAATTGTTTTTATGTGGGAACAAATGTTTTTTCCTGTATATAATTACGTGAACATCTATGGAATTTCAAATAAAATAGTGAATTTTGAGTGTGAAGACCCAGCTAACCAGCAGTTGAAAAACTGTGCAACATCCTCTGCCCATGTAGTTTTTTTCCGTATTGGTAAAGAAGGAAAATATTACACCTCAGACTCCCTGGTATTCATACATTTGGGAAGGATAGGTGAAGTAGATGTGGTGGGGGAAGGTGGAGAATGACGGCTGGGGAAGAGCCTGGAAAAGGGAGGCAAGAAATACATAATTTGAAAGGCCATTTTTACGGATGGGCTGAGGCTTTTGCCAAATGGAAGCCTGTATGAGAAAAAATAAATAGAGCTGTAGAGCTGTTTAAGAGTTAAGCAAGCTGTTGATCTTGCCTCTAGTCCATACATAACTCCTGCTGTACTAGGTCTGATGCATAAAGCTAATTGAAATCTACTGGTAAAGACCATCAGCATCAGTGAAAACAGAGGGACTACTGCTGCATGCAATAGCATGGGTGACTCTGACAACCATATGTTGAGCAGAAGAAGCCAGACACAAGAGACTAGACACTGATTAATTCCATTTAAGCAAAGTTAAAAAAAACAAGCAAATTAGTCTGTGGTGTTAGAACTCCATATAGGGTGGCCCTTGGAGGGGTGATGACTGAAAGAAGGGGTGACAGGGGTGCTCTGGGCTATTTGAAATGTTCTATTTCTTGATTGAGGGGATGGTTATATGGGTATACCCCATTTGTGAAAATTTATCAAGCTGTATACTTGTAATTTGGGTATTTTTCTCTATATATTTTATACTTAATTAAAAAATATTACTTAACAGTTGCTAATGTCTATTAGAGAGATGTTTGTATGCATGTATGTTATGGGGCCATTAAAAACTGCTGACTAACTGTATTTGCTTGTTTTTTCAAATTAGTAGCTGACTGACATTTGATTTCTGGGAGATATTTGTTTAGTAAATAATTTCTGGTTACAAAAAAGGAGCCAGTGGGTTTTGGATGGTAGCCTAACGGATACCTAGGTATTTATGAGTCGGTATGTACCCTCATCACAATCAAAAGCAGTTAAACTAAGAACAGGGTACTGTTAGTGTACTGAATGTGGGATCAGGAGGAGAGTTGTGGGGCTAGATTATGGCAGTTTCACGGAAGATAAAGAAAAATGATCTTTACTCAGTTCTTCCTCAGATCCTGAAATGTGTGGCAGCTACTGTCACCAGAGGTTGTCACCCTCCTTCACTCCATAACCCACTTCTGACCAGCATGTCTAGGAGGAGAACTTGTCCACTCTCTTCCCCAGCAGAGACATTTTTTCTCTCTCTCTGTCTCTCTCTCTCTATTTCACAGGAGGGGAGTAGACTTCTGAAAGAATATGGTTGACCTTGTTATACAAGAGATCAGAGAGAGAAGAAATACAAGAGAGAATGAGAAGGAAAAGGAGGAGGGAAAGAAAAAGGAAAAGTGGAATAAACCAAGAGAGATGTGTCAAGGTAATTTAGAGGTTGTAATCTTCAAAGAAAGACCTATTAATAATGACAAAATGGCAAGATCTTCACACTGTCCTATTTAAGAAAAATGTTTAAAATATACTTACTATATGCTAGGAACTGCCTCCATGCTATATGCCCAATATAATTCCACTTAATTTTACTTTTGTAGATGATAAAATTGAGGAATCAGGAGGATTTTGAACACAGGATGTCACACTACAGTCTAAACCTTCCTTGTTCACTAAGCTAAACCCTCATATTTGGAGACTACTGAATGAGAAGAATAATGCAATGTGTTGAATGCCTACAACACCTCAAGGACCTTTTTTTCATCTTTTACTTTTTAAAATTTTATTGTAGTAAGAACACTTAACATGAGATCTACCTTTCTAAAAAATTGTTAATTGTAGACTACATTATTGTTGACTATAGGTATAATGCTGTATAGCAGGTCTCTAGAGCTTATTAATCTTGCTTGATTGGAACTTTATGCACACTGATTAGTAACTCCTCATTTCTCTCTCCCCCTAGACCCTGGTAACCACAATTCCACTCTTTGATTCTATGAATTTGACTATTTTAGATACCTCACATAAATGGAATCATGCTGTATTTACCTGTGACTGGCTTATTTCACTTAGCATAGTGTCCTCAAAGTTCACTTATGTTGCCACATATTCCAGAATTTCATTGTTTAAAAGGCTGAATAATATTTCATCATGTGTATATACCAGATTTTCCTTATCCATTCATCTGTCGATGGACATTTAGGTTATTTCCACATCTTGGCTTTTGTGAATAATGCTGCAATGAACATAGCTGTGTTAATATCTTTTTGAGACCCTGATTTCAATTCTTTTGACTAAATACCCAAGGGTGGGATTACTGGATCATATGGTAGCTCTATTTTTACTTTTTTGAGCAACTCACATACTGTTTTCCATAGTGGCTGCACCATTTTGCATTCCTACAACAGTGTACAAGGGTTCCAATTTCTCCACTTATATGTTTGTCCTCACCAACATATTTCAGCTTAAATAATTTGTTTTTGTTCTCTCTGGTCAACACGTGCATGTGGCTAAGACTGGTTATCTGTGCCCATTTCTATCTGTTACTTGTCGTTGGCTGTGACCTTATCATTTGGGGTTCCAATAAAGGACGGCCTGGAGCTGGACTGGACCGCATGGAGCCACTCCAGGCCACATGGACCCTCTGGCCACTCTGGTCTGGACTCATTCCTCCTCCCACCAGGACTTATAAGGAACTGAGCCAGCTCCCAAGGGTAAAGATAGGTCACTAGGCAGATGACCATGTACCTTTAACTGCTGACCCTGATTTGTGTGTACTGGCTTTGAGGCAGGATTCTTGTGGCTACTTTTTACTCTGAGTTTATATTTAAGCAAAGATTAGATTTGCTGTGTGCCTCTCACTTACACATGAAAGGTTGGGTGTACATCATTGGGTAGTATCCCACAAAACCAATGGGCTATAGAAGTCAATTGTGCCCTGTATAAGTGATCAACTTGGGCAATCAAACATTTGAGTGATAAAAATGACTAGAAATTTTGTAAAGGTCAATTTCAGGATATTGACAAGTGTTTGAGCAGCCTTTGCTTGCAAGTATTATGCTAGGTAATTTGGGGGATACAGAGGTGTGCTATCAAAGTCTGGAATGATGAAAACAACTGGGATCAGGCTGTGCAGTACTGTACTGAAAACCAAGCCTGCGCTGACTGAAGGTAATTAGGAAAAGGAGCTACCAATGGGCAAATGCTAAGATGAGAGAGACGGCCACTTCACAGTGCAGTAAAATGATCTTTCCTTCTGTCTATATGAGTGATCACTTCTACATATTTACAAAACAGATGCAATGATTATTGGTGGTTTGTGTAGAGTATGTCTTCGTTGGCCAAATAAGTTAGGGAATGCTAGCTTAAGAAAAATGTATACAGGTTTCTCTCCCGTAGGACCTTTCCAAACTTTTTGTATGCTAATTTTAAAGCTCTAAGACAGAGCTGAACTTTCTGGTTTCCCACATTTTGCACTTTGAAAACATTTTCATATGCGACATCTTCTGGAACTAGTCTTTGGAAAGACTAGAAACAATGGTTTAACATTTTCCAAGTCATATGCCTCTCATTTCATGTTGTCTTTCTGTTTAGGTCTGGAGGAGAAAATCTAGGCAGTATAATTTAGTGGAAAAGTGACCAGAGAGTAGCCCAAGACCTGGGCTCATCACTCAAGCCTGTTTTGGTTTCACCTTCTATGAAAATAAATTCTTTCCTACTGTCCTCAACAAAGTGAGCCTACTTGAGACTCATTGACCCAGAGACTGCATTGGCCAAAGGATTTCCGGTTTCCCAAGTCAGGGAACAAATCCAGCCATAAATCCTTTAAATGCAATCCCAATATGCATTTTCCTTTTCTTTTCTCAAAATATTCAGCTCTGAGCCCTTACTTTGTGGCTCATTTTGTGTTTGTCCAAGGCAACCCAAAGAAATGGAGTTAGTCAGTGCTAGAAATGTCCGAAAGGGATGCATCAGTTCAAGTCTCCTGTTTTACAGACAAGGAATCTGAACTTTGGAGTTTGACTTTCCCTTGGATTATAGTGCCAGTCAGTGTGAGGGACGGTAAGGAAATTAAGGTCACCTGACTCAGTCTATGCCACTTCCTATAGCAGTGTACAGAGACCCTAGGATCACCCTGAGGTTTGAGTCCCTTGACAAAAGATTAACCTAGGGGAAATGCCAGGGAAATTCCTCAGTTTCACCCAGATCCTCTTGCTCTTCTCAGAAGTAGTAATTCTCAACTTAAATATTGTTGCTCTTATATCTTGGGGAAAACTGTTCAACACAAGCGATTAAGGCTTAAAAACTCCATTGGTCTGTTAGGGATTTACCTAACTCTGTCCCAGAACTACAAAAAAAAAAAGAATCCCCCCAAAACAACACAAAAAATCCTATTAACAGATTCTAGATGCTGTTATATCAAGGGTCCCGGGAAATGATTGAGTTTAACACTTGAGGGCTACAGAATGAGAGCTAGGGTAAATGCATGGTGTTGCTAAACCTCAGGCAATTTAACTGCGGCTGCCAAGGCATCCACAGTAAGACTTTTTCAATTGGTATATTTATACTTTCTTTACTTAGTATTGATTCTAAATAAGGATAAAACCCATCCTTGATGGGAAGCCTATGAGTAAGAACAGATGAATTAAAGTTTGTTTTATCTTCCCACTTTCCTTTCGCTGTAGCCAAAAAAAGCCTTCCCTTTGGAGGCAAACGGGATGTGTTCTAGAGGCAGCAGCCACTGCCTTCAGAACAACTGCATGATGAAGTGGTAGAAGAGGCTAGAGCAAGAGGAATGTTGGGTTCTGGTGCAGGTCCAGGGCTTCCTAAACCTTTTGTCTGTAAAACTGGGGGAAATAGACCATCTTAAAGGTCCACAGGTCTCCAAACTTCCCCTGCTCCCTGTTGTATATTGATGCCAGGGGATATCATATTCTAAACTCTATATTCTTCTTAAAACACCTGCTTTGGGGCCACCAATAAAGCAAGTTCTCTCTCTCTTTTAGGTGTTGCAACAGACTGACTTCACTGTAGATATTTACTCATTGATTATTTGTGGACTTGAGAATAATCTCTGGGTAGTTTGCTTAATGGCAGAAAATGAGTGGACAGAATGAGTGACCAAAGTATGATTGTTTAGCTATTAGCTGCTCATGGTTGTGTGAGTGGGAACAGGCTTTGGAAATACAGAAGTTTTAGTTCTGGAAAATTCTAGCTGAAAAATGTCAGGCAAGTTATTAAGTCGGTTTGTATCTCAGTTTTCTTCTCTCTAAAATGGACATAATAATCACCTTGCTGTTTTTTGTCAGAGTAAAATGAGCTAACATATTCAAAGAGCCCAATATAATGCTTATTATGTGATGGGTAATAAATATAAGCTGTTATCAATAAAAATCACATAGGAATTTTATCTTTTTGTCGTTTTCTTGGTGTTTTCACAGAGTCCGGAAAACTATATCTGTTTCAAAAGTGTTCGTTGAATAAAGAAATAACTCCCTTGACATATTTTAAATTCCTATTATCCCTATAGAGCTGTCATAAAATTTCATATAATGCTACTAAATGAATTGAGAATAGAATTGTTTGATAAGGTAAGCAGAGGTATGATGATATGATGTTACAATGTTCTAGACTATTTAATTTATTCACCAAAGTAGCAGCTCCATGGGGCAACACTTGGGATATATTTATTCAATCGGATCTATCTTGAGAATTTTCTGTGCACTGCCTTCTGTACTTGGAGGACAGCAATGGTCAGCAAGAGAGGTCATAATGATGGACAATCAATAATTATGCCTGGGCCTGGACATAGGGTTGTAGATGGATGATTTAACACAAGCCATAGCAACAATAATCTTATGAGGTAGACAGTAGTATTGTCCTCACTTTACAAAAATGAAAATGAATCCCAGAGAGACAGAATAACTAGTCCAAGTTTATAGAGGTGTAAGAGGCGGGCACTGTACTCAAACCCCGGCACTCCGACTCTCCAAGTCCGCTGTTACTACTCTGCCATGTGAGATTTCGTCCTTTAGGAAATTTACACTCTAATTAAATAAAGTCAATCAATGCAATGTAAGACATGCTCCAATCCAAGGAACACTTAGGTGATTTGGAGCACATGGGAGGTACTATCTGAAAAGCAATTGATTTGCTAGGCTTTCTGCCTTTTTTCCCCCCAGCTACTTCCTCACTTATACTTGAAAGTTTCTTGACGGGTTATTGATGGGTTTTCCCCTCCCTTTCTCATAGAACTGCTGTGATTCATTTAGCTGGAGGTTTCAACTGAGAGGGAAAGTACCAGCCTTTGGTCATGTTTACTCACTGGCTGTCTATGGGGGTTACGTGTGGTCATCCAAAGACATCAAACACTCCATTGTATTCAGAACAATGCTGCTGCTGGCCTGTGAGAAGGAACTAGATAACCCCTCTGCTATCTCTAGTTTCTCTGATACAGTTCTGCAAACAGTGCAGCAGCTATTCTCATAAAACCTCCTACATGAACTTTGATTCTTTCGAGGGTGGCTCTGGAAAAACCAAGGAGAGAAGATAGAATTAGTATAGCAGTAGCTGGCTGGCCAGGTTTATTCAGATCCTACATGTACAACAGCATTTCTAGGAGCCATTAGGATCCTAAGGAGAAAGAACAATCAAAAATAGGTGTCTTTCTCTCACCTGCCTGATACGAAATTTGACATTGCCCCATTAGAGTGGCCCATATTAGATTCTTTATAGACAAGAGCTTTCTCTGGATTAAGGTTTTTGGTTTTCTATTGCATTGATTTATTAGTACCTTATCTTAGGGGCTGCTTACTTGATTAATTAATGCGTTCACATCTGATTGTCACTTGGGAGAGACTGTGAGAGAGTAGGGTTCTGATACAGAGAGATGTGGGGGAGGATTCTGCAGGATGGGTGGAGACAAGCCAAAGCATGCCAGAAGGCATTGAGAACCAAGGGAAGAACATCTTTCATAGTTGGGAAGAAAGGGAGTTGGGAAATAACAAGGCAAATTCCCTTTGACCTTAGCCTGGTCCAACTGTCTTGCTTACAAATATTACTTCCATTCATTCATTCATTCTTCATTTATTTAGTTAACTCTTCTCCAGACACAGTACAAGGCAAATCACCAAAAAGATTACAAAGTGGAGGGAAACTCAGTCCCTCCTTCAAGTTCACAATCTAAGAAGGGACATATGTGTGCACAATTAGGACTGCAGAGGGCCTGGTTTTAGAAGGGAGGTGTGCGCACAGTGGCATAGAGCCATGAAACTTAGGTCCTTTTTATCTGGGTCCTGAGAAAGTGCAATAGAAGACGGAGGGGCAGGTGTGGCTGGGACTCAGGGTGAATCTTCTCCAGTTCACCTCCTCATTGGTGGAGTTGCCTTCTATGGGGGTACTTGCCCACAGCCTGGGGAAACCTGCCAGCAGCACCTTGACCTTGTGTAAGCTGTTTTGCTGAGTAAATCTGGCCAAGGCAGGGGTGTGCAGGTAGATAATGAGAATGCTAACAATTACAGCTAGCAGTTTTTTGGTACTTTTTATGTGCCAGACGCCATAATAGAATACTTAATGATCTTGGCAACCCTATAAGTAGTCTTATTATTCCCATTGTACAGATAAGGAAACTGATGCTAAGGGAGGTTAAGTATCAGGCCCAAGGACACACAAGTTAAGTGGCAGAGCTGGGATTTCCTTCAGCAGTTCAACTTTACCTCCTCAGCCTGAATAAGGATATCCAGCACTTCCTAACACAGGTAAGTGGAGTCTCCTTTGCAAGTACCTCTAAGAGCATTCATGCTAGGGATCCAGAAGGGTCTGTAGGAGTGCTAACTGTTGGAAAGGGAAGCACATACCCTCCGGGGATAGTAGTGGTCTTTGGTTTTAGGGGAGAGGAGAAGCCAAATGAGACCAACTTTGGTATAGGTAGTGGTTAGGAGCAGGTGTGTGGTGAGAACAAGGGGTAATGGTGTCTTCCCAGTGATCCAAGAAACTGACTTTCATGTCCTACTTTTTTGAAGATGCAGTGTAGTGATGTTCTCTGAGCCTAAGGTCTCTGCTCAGCCGGACAGGGATCACTTTCCTCATTTTAATGTTCAAAGCCAACATCACTATCAATTGAATAGGAAAACAGTAGCAATTTTTCCTTCAATGGATAGTTTAAACAAATATTTTTGTTTTGTCTGTGGGAAACTATAATAAAACAGAACTAGCCTTCCAAACACAGGTTGCACTGTATAATTAGGTAGGTAAACATGGCTGTAGAAGTTGAACTGCACGAACCTTGAACCAACAGCAGAGAAAAGAAGATGATAGTTATTTATTGGTGAGGATATAATTCTGACTGTGGCCAAAGGAACAATGTTTCCTTGATGATAGCTTTACCCTCAAACTTTGGTAACAATGTGACTTCGTATACTGCCCTGAAAGAGCGTGTTTTCAGTTGAAGATGGTCAGTATTCATTTTGGCTTTTGACATCAGTACTAGAAGGTACTGATGTAAAACCTCTTATTCATTTAAGTTTTCTAAAGTATTGCCTTGATTTTAGACAGAAAAGAAGCACAAGTGAGGGTACGAAACAGAAGCCTAACTCTGAATGCTCTGTACACAGGATTTGGGCCTTTCTTCGAAATGAGGGAGTGTCTGAAAAAATATGATCCCTTTTCATGCTGTGTAACCCCCAGCCTTTTTAGTGAACTGAGTTGTAGAGTGTCCACTCAAGCCAGGTTTCTCCTGGGTGTTTTTGCCCTGTTGAACTCTGTAGTCATCCTGTCAATCATTTTGTGTGTTTTATATAGTTGGCATGGGAACTATGAAAATAATGCTGCAGTATATCCTTGCACAAATATCTTTAAACATTGGCAAGTAGACCTATAGGAAAGAAACGGAAAGGTGAGATGTGTATTTGGATTTGATGAACACTATGAGATTAGATTTCAAAAAAGGCTCTGTCTGCTCTCCTACATAGCGTGCATGAAAGTATCCATTTTCTTGCACTGCCACTCTTACCAACATCAGATATTATCTTTTTTTTATTTTTATTTTTTGGTGAGGAAGATTGGCCCTGAGTTAACCTCTGTTGCAATCTTCCTCTAGTTTGTATGTGAGATGCTGCCACAGCATGGCTTGATGAGTGGTGTGTAGGTCCGTGCCCAGGATACAAACCCGCAAACCCTGTGCTGCCAAAACAGAGCATGCAAACTTAGTGACTACACCACTGGGCCAGCCCCCAGATATTATCTTTTTAATTTTTGTAAATCTTATGGGTGACAAATGGCATCTTAGTGTCATTTTAATTATTTCCATTTCCTCAGTTACCACAAGTCGAATATCTTTTAACGTTTATTGGTGATTTATTCTCTTCTGTTTTTGAACTGTCTGTTCAAACCCTTTGTGGATTTTCCTAATGGTTTTGTTACATTATTCTTAGAGATTTGTAAGAGCTTTTAACATTATGAGTATTGATTTTATTTTTTGTAAATATTTTTTCCCCCGTTCCTTGTTTTCTGAAGATCTTTATGATGTCTTTCAAAGTATCTAAGTTGAAAGATTTAAGTAGTAAAATCTACCATTCTTTGTATTTATGTCCTTTGAGTTTTATATGTCGCTTAGAAAAATTTTCATATATATATGGTTTATAGTTTTTTCTAGTGCTTTATGTTCATAATTCAGGTCATAATTTATTAATAGTCTTATTAACATCTATTTCTTTCTCATACTTTTTAAAACTTTTTTATGCATTTGAGTCTTAAATTTGTGTATATAATGAAATATATAGCTTATTTCTTCCAAATAGATTTCTAATTTTTTCCAACTACATTTTGAGTAGCATGTATTTTGACTTTCAGATTGACATGCCACCTTTATCACATAATAAATTCTTATATATGTTCATTTCCAGACTTTTTTTTTTTTTAAAGATTTTTATTATTTCCTTTTTCTCCCCAAAGCCCCCCGGTACATAGTTGTATATTCTTCGTTGTGGGTTCTTCTAGTTGTGGCATGTGGGACGCTGCCTCAGCGTGGTCTGATGAGCAGTGCCATGTCCGCGCCCAGGATTCGAACCGACGAAACACTGGGCCGCCTGCAGCGGAGCGCACGAACTTAACCACTCGGCCACGGGGCCAGCCCCTCATTTCCAGACTTTTATATTCTGTTCCAATTTATTTGTCTATTCTTGATCCAGTCACCACAATGTTTTAATAACCATAACTTTATATTTTGATTTGGTCCACTGTGGGTTTTTTTGATATAGTTTCTTAGCTATTCTTGGACAAATACTCTTTGGGTTAACTGTAAGAGGGGGTAGTAAATGGCGATTTAAAAAGTCTCAATGGAGTTTTGATTGAAACCAGATAGCATATGTAGACCTACTAGAGAAAAGAGAGTCATTTGTGCAAGCAAGGGCGTCTGCTCACACAGGATGTCTGCCGGTACATTGTCAAGAACTGGTACCTCTAAAATGTTTGAGTTGCTCAGCACACTCCCAAAGTTAACACTGAAGAAAAATTCTCTTACCTCTCTTAAAGAATGTTAAGTCCAAACTCTGCCTCATTTTATCTACAAAATAAAACAAAGATCCTGGTATGTCTGCAGGTTGTGGGACTGTCATTTGAGAAACTTTGCTGTCTGGCTCTAGAAGTGATTCGCAATGGGACATCTGCATGATGTCAAAGTATTTGACAAATTCTGGAAACCTGGGGCTAGATTCCTTAGATTAGATTCATCATATCTTCAATGAAGACCAATTTTATTGGATTGTACAGCTTTTATCTAAGGCTATGCAAACACGATTCCAAGAGCGCCCCCCAATTCAGCTAATTTTCACTCAGGAAAACTATTAGTAACTTTCAACAAAAAGACTTACAAATATGTTATTTGACATTATATACACCAAATAATTAGAGAAATTAATAAACTTTTCACTTTTTCTTTTCCTACTTTCCTTCCTTCCAACAAGGCCTTAATTTATTTTCAAAAGATTGGAGAACATTGATAACATTCTCCAACATGTAGTTTTTACTTATTGTAGCATTGTGACTCTTACAAATTGCAAGCAATCTAAATGTTCAAACAACTTAGGTAAATAAATTTTTGTATATCCATAGAGCATTATATTATATAGCATTTTGAAGCAATGAGAGATTTTATATGTAAGGGCATGAAAGGTTTAAGATATATTACTGACTAGAGCTGAATCAATCTGCAGGACAGCATATATAATATAATCCACTTTTGTGTAAACTAATTGCTTTATTAAACACACACAGACATACCTAAAGAAATATGAAAAAAAAATCACTGAATTTTGGACTTGGGAAGTATAAAATTATAATTCTACCTTATAAGTATTTATATCATTTAAAATTTTTAATGTGAGCATATATGTTTTATAGACAAACAAAAAAGATTTTAATTTTGGAAAATGCCATTTTTTAGCTTGATGATCTTACTTCCTATAATAATCTTTCTCGTTATCATAAATTATCAGGGTTGACTATGGCTCAGAAATCTTATGTTTTCTTTCATTACAACACTATCTGTAGATATAATTCAGGAGTATTAGCATTATCACAATTCCTTGAACTGAGTGCCAGCCACAGAACCCAGTATGTACATTGCCTCGTTTAATCCTCAGAACATTCCTTTGGGCTAGATAATATCCCCATTCTACAGAGAAGCAAAACTGAATTTTAGAGAGATTAAGTTACTTGCCAAAGTCCTTCAGCCAATTAGTCAGCATCGTAAGGAGTCAAACTTTAATCTCTGATCCCAACCATGGCCTCCCCACTATCCTACAAAACAATTTCCATATGGAAATTAATAAACACAAACTGGAAAGACTTCTCAGAATTCAAGGCCACAAATTTCCCATATTTCTTTTGTAGGTTAACTTAGTAGGGCTGCCAAACCATCAGAATGGATAAAGTGCATGGTAAAGATACCGTGGAAAACCACTATTTGCTTAAGTCTGTAGCCTTCAGATCTGTTGTCTCGGTGAAAAAAGCTAACACTAACCAGCATTGTCTTTCCTTAGGGAGTGTATTAGTTTGCTAGGGCTGCCGTAATAAAGTACTACAAATTAGGGGGTCTAAACAACAGAAATGTGTTGTCTCACAGTTCTGGAGGCTAGAAGTCCAAGATCAAGGAATTGGCAGGGTTGCTTCCTTTTGAGAACTGTGGTAGGCAATCAGTTGCCTCTCTCCTAGCTTTTGGTGGTCTGCCGACAGTCTTTGGGGTTCCTTGGCTTTTAGAAGCATCACTCTGATCTCTATCTTCATCTTCACATGCTGCCCTCCCTGTGTTGCTGTCTGTAACCAAATTTCCCCTTTTTATAAGGACGCCAGTCACATTGGATTAGGGTCCCACCCTACTCCGGTATGGCCTCATCTTAACTAATTACATTTGCAATGACCCTATTTCTGAATAAAGGCACATTCTGAGATATGCGGGTTAGGACTTCAACATATGAATTTCAGGGGACAAAATTAAGCCTATAACAGAATGTGACTTTCTTCTCCCTGAGGCTGAGGAGCATGCTACAGAATCCTCTCTTCACATTCATGAGCCAAATGTCCTTTTGCATCCCTGTCTGTGGGTGAGAGCACCACGGTTCTGCACAAAGTATTCTTCAATATTCTTCTCTGTTTTCCTTCATTATTTAGACACTTTGAGGAGACATTTGACTTGAGCTTCTTGTTCATACTGAAGTCTTCTCTTAGGCAACCTGGTGCTGGCTTTCTATGGTTGCTTGGA